CAAGTGCGCCCTTCAAAAGGAGACCAGCCACACCTGGATGGGACGAAGAATGCACAAAATTGTATGTAGAAAAATCTGATGCTTTCAAAGCTTTTCGTAGACACAAAACCTCCACTTACTTCGAGGAATATTCAAAGCTTGAGACAAAGCTGAAACAATTAATCAAAGCAAAAAAACGCGGTTATTGGCGCAATTTCGTCGAGGGACTCTCACGAGAAACCTCAATGAACACCTTGTGGAGGGTGGCGCGCAACATGCGTAACCGCTCATCTTTCAATGAGAGTGAAGAATACTCCAACCGATGGATATTCGATTTCGCTAAAAAGGTCTGTCCGGACTCAGTTCCAGCACAAAATATTCTTCGAGAAGCGTCTCCTAGCGGCGGCTCTCTGGATAGACCATTCTCAATGCTGGATTTCTCTATGGCTCTTCTTTCATCGAACAACTCCTCACCGGGCAGCGATATGATTAAATTCAATCTTCTGAAAAACCTCCCAGATATCGTTAAAAGACGCTTGCTAGATTTATTCAATTCCTTGCTAGAAAACAACATTGTACCGCCTGAATGGAGACAGGTCAAAGTAATAGCCATTAAAAAACCTGGCAAATCAGCGTCTGACCATAACTCATACCGTCCGATTGCTATGCTTTCGTGCATTAGGAAATTGTTGGAGAAAATGATCCTTCGGAGACTCGATCACTGGGTCGAATCAAATAACTTGCTATCAAATACACAGTTTGGGTTCCGCAAGAGCAAAGGAACAAACGATTGTCTAGCGCTGCTTTCCACAGATATTCAACTGGCCTTTGCACACAAGGAGCAATTGGCTTCAGTATTCTTGGACATTAAGGGGGCTTTTGATTCAGTTTCCATTGAAATTCTGTCAGACAATCTGCACAGATGTGGACTTTCTGGAATTTTAAATAATTTCTTGTACAATTTGTTGTCAGAAAAGCAAATGAACTTTTCCCTTGGACAACTGACAACTTCCAGAATTAGCTACATGGGCCTGCCCCAAGGCTCATGTCTCAGCCCTCTTCTTTATAACTTTTATGTCAAAGATATCGACAACTGTTTGGCAGAACAATGCACGCTTAGACAACTTGCAGATGACGGTGTGGTTTCCGTAAGAGGTCCACATGCCGTGGACTTGCAAGGACCATTGCAAAGTTCCTTAGATAACTTGTCGTCTTGGGCTAGGAATCTAGGGATCGATTTCTCGCCGCAGAAAACTGAACTGGTAGTGTTTACTCGAAAGCGGTACCCAGCCCAAATGCAGCTTAATCTTTTGGGCAGAAACATTACCCAATCATTGTCTTTCAAGTACCTTGGGGTCTGGTTTGATTCAAAGTGCACTTGGAATGCCCATATTACGTATTTGAAGCAAAAATGTCAGCAGAGGATCAACTTTCTCCGTTCAATTTGCGGCACATGGTGGGGTTCTCATCCGGGAGACCTCATAACGCTTTATAAAACAACTATTCTCTCTGTTCTAGAGTACGGCTCTTTCTGCTTTCTCTCGGCAAGAAAATGTCACCTAATAAAATTGGAACGAATTCAATATCGTTGTCTGCGTATTGCTCTTGGCTGTATGCACTCAACGCATAACATGAGTCTCGAGGTTCTGGCAGGAGTAACACCCCTCCAGAACCGTTTCTGGGAGCTCTCTCTCAGAAAACTAATCAAATGCGGAGTGACGAACACACTTATAATTGCAAATTTTGAAGAAATTCTTGGGCTGAACACACAATCTCGATTTATGAGAATCTACCACCACTACATATCATCAGATATGTGTCTTCCTTGTTATACTCCAGACCGTGTTCACTTCACCAATCGCAGTTCCTCAATTGAATATGATCTGACCATGAAACAAGCAACTCATGGGATTCCCGATCAACTTCGACCTATTATTATCCCGCGTATTTTTACTGAAAAGTACCAACACGTCAATTGCGTGAAAAGATATTTTACAGACGGGTCACGTCTCAATGGATCCACTGGCTTCGGTGTCTTCAATGAAAACTCTAGCGCCTTCCGCAAACTCCAGGAACCTTGTTCCGTTTTTGTTGCTGAGCTGGCAGCAATCAACTTCGCATTGGGGATGATTTCCAATATGCCCACAGACCATTACTTCATCTTCTCGGATAGTCTCAGTTCGATTGAGGCTATTCGGTCGATGAAACAAGGTAGGCACTCATCTTATTTCCTTTCAAAGGTAAGGGAGCAGATGAGTGTACTGGTCGAAAGATCATATATGATTACCTTTGTATGGGTCCCCTCACATTGCTCAATCCCAGGCAATGAGAAGGCGGACTCTCTCGCAAAGGTGGGCGCGCAGGAAGGCGAATTTTATGACAGGCAAATTTCACACGATGAATTTTACCATTTAGTGCGTCAGAGTACCCTTTCGAGTTGGCAAACCGATTGGGACAATGGAAATCTTGGACGGTGGTTACATTCAATTATTCCTAATGTTTCTTCGAGAGCGTGGTTTAAAGGCTTGGACTTAAGTCGTGACTTCATTCGCGTGATGAGTAGACTTATGTCCAACCACTACTCGCTAGATGCTCATCTCAATAGAATAAACCTCGTGGACAGCAACATCTGTCGGTGTGGAAACGGTTACGATGACATCGATCATGCAGTTTGGCAATGTACGGATAATTACGCCGCCAGAGAGCGACTTTTGAATACCCTTGAGGCCCAAGGAAGACAACCCTATGTTCCTATCAGAGACGTGTTGGGAACTCGCGATATCTGCTATATGCAGTCGGTTTATGTATTTCTTCAAATGTCTAGTATAAGAATTTAATTCCTTTGTCTTTTGTCTCTCTTTATTAGTTTTTGTTTGTCTTGTCCCCCCGTCTCGATGAGTCTCATCGTCACCCACTGGTCACCCACCATAGCCGGTCGAACTCCAGACGAAACTAGAACCGCACAACCATTCATACTGGCGACAACGCTCTGATGAGACAACGAAACCTTACCCCTAAGCTCCTCCCCTGATCCTATCCTTCGACAATGTACCTCTCTAACCTCGAGTAAGCCGCGAGTATTCGGCCCAACTCCTACTAGACATAGAATTAAGTGAATTTTGTTACAAACAAAGAACAATGAACTATCGGCTCCGTAAAGCTAACGCGATTGAGCCTTCCAAATAAACATACTGGTTAAAAAAAAAAAAAAAAAGGCCAACCTGGGACAAAGCATTCGAGCCATTTCATAGTGCCCTGAATGGAACAGTCGCCATCTCATCGGTGCATGAATAGATCCTGTGGCCATTCCGATTGCATGAAAAGGAGTCAGCAGCCATCGTCTTGCTCATCAATAGTCCTTTTGAATCGCGCCCAATCTATCCGCCATCGTCCTCTTCTGTGAAGACATCAGCTACATCAACCTTCATCAGCGAGTGGGAAAACGGACTTCGAAGGCTACATCGGTTGTTCATCAGGATTGTAGAATAACCAGAGCGTTTTCTACTACCATTCCAGGTATGTTAGAACTTGTATATGTCTAGCCGAAGTTCTGGCCTATTCCCCACTAACGCCAACCCTACGATTTGTGCATATTGTTGTTTAATTTCTATGAGGACCTACTATCGACGGACACTACATTGGCATTGGTGAATCAGTTTGCGAAGAATCGATTCACAACGCTTCCTTCGATCGGTGCATGGTGCATGCAATCCAATGCGATTCGATTGGACCTGCAACGACGACACAACTACGATTTATTTGCGACGACGGAGGACACCACGATTGCTTCGAGCTCGGGCATTGCAGCGGCCATTTGCGGTCAGGTAAATATAATAATTACTCTTATAAGTATATGCCCAGCCGAAGCTGGATTTGGATACCACACCAATAAATTATTACCCTTTCGATGCACATTGGACTGTTTCGAGTCAACTCATTTATGGACGCAATCCCTGAGGTTTCACTGTGGTTTTCGGACTAAAGCTAATTCGTCAGCACCATCTTTAGTGCTCTAGGTGAGGCAAAGTATATGTCCTACCGGGGCAGGCTTATTTGTGAAACTACATTGGTCATTTTTTCTCCGCTGTACTGGATTTGAACTTTCGAGACGATTTCGTACTGTACTACTCGCTGCATACAAACATAAGAGACGATTTTGATGCCTTTTGAGCTCGGCTGCTGCTACATGCTACTGTTTCATAGGTGAGCTGAGCAGTATATGTCTAGCCGAAGTTTCAATTTTGTATACTACATTCGCTTCTTCACCCCCTCGCATTTCACTGGTTTGAATCTGAATCTGAGGTTACTGATCGAACGTTGGAGGTGTGTCGATTTGGATTTGCTGTTTGGCTTCGGAGGTGCCACTGTTTCTTCACACAGGTGAGGTGAACGGTATATGCCCAGCCGAAGTAGACAAATTTGGATACTACATCTACGTTTTCTCTCGCCTTTCTGAACTGCCAGTGGAGTAACCTGTTCATCAACTGACATTCGGTCGAGTTCCTGTACTGTGACGACAGCAATTATGGCAACAAAACCCGTAACCAGGAATGCCGAATCCCTGAAGGTTTTAACATCCAAACTCAAGGGGCTCAAATTATCATTAAGCAATATTTGTCAGTATGTTAAGAACTTCAAAGAGGGAACCTCTGCCAATCAAATTAATGTTCGTATTGAGCGGTTAGATATACTGTGGGTACAAATTAGCGAAACAATCTGGGACATCCAAGCGCATGAGGAATATGCAGAGCAAGATGGTAGTCAAAGGGAGCAGTTGGAGATTGAAAATCGTTACTACGATGCGAAATCGTTTCTGGTTGAAAAGGTTGACGGATTGCAGGAAGGGTCTTCGTCAAACCAAACAGTGCGGACTGCAGATGCCACTCTACATGGCGTAGTGGATCATGTTCGTCTACCTCAAATCCAGTTGCAATCCTTTGATGGTAGTATCGACGATTGGTTGAGTTTTAGAGACCTCTACACATCTCTGATTCACGAAAAACCCGATCTACCTGATGTAGAGAAACTTCATTACCTCAAAGGGTGCTTAGCAGGCGAGGCTAAGGCACTGATTGATCCGCTAAGGATCACGAAAGACAATTATCAAGTTGCTTGGGACACGTTGCTAAAACGTTACAACAACAACAAACTTTTGAAGAAGAAGCAAGTTCAAGCGCTCATCAAGCTGCCTTCGCTTAGCAAGGAATCTATCACGGATCTCCATAAATTGGTGGATGGTTTCGACCGTGTGATTCGGACGTTAGACCAAATCATCGAACCAGCCGATTATAAAGATTTGTTGCTGGTAGAGCTGCTGAGCACTCGTCTCGATCCTGCCACACGACGAGGGTGGGAAGAACATTCGTCTACGAAGCAGCAAGACACCCTAAAGGATCTACAGGAGTTTCTTCAACGCAGAATGCAGATTCTTGAAGCCTTACCTGCGAAGGTGGAAGCGAAGGTGGAACAGTTCCAACAACTAAAAAGAAAGCCGTTCTCTACAAGGGTCAGCCATAATGCCGTACAAGGAAACAACGCTAAGTGTCCTTCTTGCGCGGAGATTCATGGACTGCATACTTGTCCAGCCTTCTTGAAGATGTCACTGACCAGTAAGGAATCCCTCATACGTACGCAATCGCTCTGCCGTAATTGCCTCAAACGTGGTCATCTTGCTCGAGAGTGTTCATCAAAGTTTTCCTGTCGGCATTGTAAGGGTCGGCACCATTCGTTGCTATGCTACAAGGGAGAAGTAAGTTCCAGCAACCAAGGATCATCCGGAAGAACGAAACCGGGTGAAGGCGCTAAGCAGTACGACAGTGTTGCAAACTCCAAGGCAGCGAATGCCTCAGCGGTTGAATCTACTTCTTCAAACGCGGCACAGTGTCTCTTATCGCAGGTTCTTCTGGCTACAGCTGTCGTTGCGATCGAGGACGATCAAGGTTCTCGCTATCTAGCACGTGCACTGTTGGACTCAGGGTCCGAGTGTAACTTCATCTCTGAAAAACTGTGCCATTTGATGAATGTCTCCAGTCAGAAGGCCAACATATCGATTCTTGGTATCGGACAGTCGAACACGAAGGCAACTCGAAAAGTCAAGGCTGTCGTCAGATCTCGGATTTCATCGTACTCTCGATCGATGGAATTTGTCGTCCTACCGAAGGTTACAGCTTGTCTGCCAACATCTACAGTTCAGGCAAATGGATGGAACATACCGGTAGAGATCGAACTGGCGGATCCGGAGTTCTTCCGGTCAAGGAAGATTGACTTGGTTCTGGGCATCCAAGCCTTCTTCAGCTACTTCCCGTCTGGAAGGGAGATACAGCTAGGCAAGGACCTACCAGTACTAACGGAATCGGTTTTTGGGTGGATAGTGTCAGGCGAAGTCACTTCATCCAGCCAAGGTACTAAGTACGTCTGTAACATGGCAGTATCGGATAATCTCGAGGAGATAATGGCACGGTTTTGGTCCTGCGAGGAAGTAGGAGCCGTCAACAAATACACTCCTGAAGAAGCTCACTGTGAGGAGCAGTTCCAGCGTACAGTTAGGCGGGAATCCGACGGGCGATACACAGTAGCCCTCCCCAAGAACAACGAAGTTTTGGTGGAACTGGGTGAATCCCGAGACATCGCATTAAGACGGTTGCGAGCTGTGGAGCGAAGATTGGCAAGGGATCCAAGTCTACAGAAGCAGTATTGTGATTTCATGGCCGAATACTTTGAGCTCGGTCACATGCGAAGATTGGACGACAGCGAAGAGCATACAGTTAAACGGTGTTTTCTGCCACATCACCCCGTTATCAAAGAGTCTAGTACCACGACCAAGGTGAGGGTGGTATTCGACGCATCTTGCAAAACATCTTCAGGAATATCCCTAAACGATGCGCTGTATGCTGGACCAATAGTTCAACAAGACTTAAGGTCAATCGTTCTGCGTAGTCGAGTTCGTCAGGTGATGGTCGTAGCAGACGTCGAAAAGATGTATCGACAGTTCTGGACGAGTCTGGATGACACACCGCTTCAATGCATACTCTGGACAGCACCTGATGGAAAGGTAGTGGCGTACGAGTTACTAACGGTGACATATGGTACGAAGTCCGCGCCGTATCTGGCCACTCGTGCGTTGCAACAACTAGCGAACGACGAACGAAAGCAGTTTCCATTAGCGGCACTTACGGTCGAAGAAGACGTTTACATGGACGATGTTATATCTGGAGCAGACAACGTTGAAGCGGCGATCGAATTGAGGAGACAAATAGACGCAATGATGATCAGCGGAGGATTAAAACTACGTAAGTGGGCATCGAACTGCCCAGACGTACTCAAGGGCATTCCAACTGAGAATCTAGCACTTCCAGATTCAAATGGAATCGATTGGGACCAAGATGCTGAAGTAAAAACATTAGGTTTAACTTGGCTTCCTAACGTAGACTGCTTCCGGTTCAAATTTACCATTCCGCCACTCACGCCATTCCAAATCCTCACGAAGCGACAAGTGTTGGCTTTCATCGCAAGACTTTTCGACCCGCTGGGCCTGCTTGGTGCAACGATCACAGCGGCAAAGATCTTCATGCAGCGGCTCTGGTGCTTAAAGAACGAACAAGGCCACAATCTACAATGGGATGACCCACTGCCCGAGACGGTGGGTAAGGAATGGCGAACATTCCACGAGCAAATCCCTTCGCTCAACGATGTGCGGATTCCAAGGTGTGTGGTTGCTCCAGGTTCGGTATCCGTAGAATTCCACTGCTTTTCGGATGCCTCTATTGTCGCTTATGGTGTGACAATCTATGTTCGGAGTCAAGAACAAAATGGTACGGTTTCGGTGCACCTTTTGACTTCGAAATCAAAGGTAGCACCACTCAAGGTTCAATCTCTACCACGGTTGGAGCTGTGTGGCGCACTCCTGGCAGCCCAACTCTGGGAAAAGGTAGCAGAATCGCTGAAGGTAGAAGGTAGCGCTCATTTCTGGACAGATTCAACTTGCGTACTCCACTGGATCAGGTCACCAGCAGGAACATGGACAACTTTCGTTGCCAATAGAGTTGCGAAAATTCAAGGACTGACTGAGCGGAGACAATGGAGGCATGTTCCGGGAACTACGAACCCTGCTGATCTAATATCCCGTGGAATTTTGCCCAACAACATTCTAGAAAACGATCTGTGGTGGCATGGGCCTACCTGGTTGAAGGATTCGCCGGAAGAATGGCCGAAGGCGGCAGAAAACCCAACTGAGAAGGATTTGGAGAGACGACGCAATGCGATGGTTTGTGTTTCGTCGAAGAAATCTGGGTTCATTTCGGATTATTTATCAAAATTTTCCACATTTACGAAATTGATTCGGATGACCGCATACTGGTTGCGCTTCCTGAACAACTTGCGGTGCCCTGAAACAGAAAAACTATCAGGATGTCTAACAACAAACGAGTTGCATCACGATGAACGGTCGATCATTCTGTCAGTTCAAGCGGAATCGTTCTCGGACGAGATCCGAAAGCTGTCGTCTGGTGTATCAGTGGGTCGTAATTCTCCGTTGCGGTGGTTCAACCCACAAATTGATGAAAACGGCATCCTACGGGTCGGTGGAAGACTGGCTCACTCCGAGGAATCGCAGCAAACAAAGCACCCGATTGTTCTTCCAGCTAGGCACAAGTTCACGGAGCTGGTAATTTGCCACTATCATCAGCAATACCTTCACGCTGGGGTGCAATTACTCTTAGGTACCGTTCGACAACGATACTGGCCACTTGGAGGCAGAAATCTAGCGAGGAAGATCGTCCATCAATGCCAGCGGTGCTTTCGGGCAAAACCTTCGATCATTCAGCAGCAAATGGGGGAGCTACCAGCTGCTCGAGTCAACGTTTCGAGGCCGTTTTCGAAGACCGGCGTCGATTATTTCGGCCCTATATACCTGCGAGCCGGTCGAGGACGAAAACCAACCAAGGCATACGTTGCACTTTTCGTGTGTATGGCCACGAAAGCCGTCCATATGGAGCTGGTGTCGGATATGTCGACGGAACGGTTCATGCAAGCCTTACGAAGATTCTTTGCGCGTCGAGGGCGTTGCACAGACGTTTATTCGGACAACGGTACCAATTTCATAGGAGCGCGAAACCAGATTCAGGAGTTGTTTGCGTTGCTGAAAAATAAAACACACCGTGAGACGGTTTCCAAGGAATGCGCTAATGATGGAATATATTGGCATTTCAACCCTCCAAGTGCACCACACTTCGGCGGGCTGTGGGAGGCAGCGGTGCGGTCAGCAAAGTTTCACCTATTAAGAGTTCTCGGTGGTAATCCAGTGGTACACGAAGACTTCATCACTTTGTTGACTCAGGTGGAAGGATGCCTCAATTCGAGGCCATTGATGGCTCTCTCCGATGATCCTATGGATGTAGAGCCACTAACGCCAGCACACTTCATAGTTGGTGGACCACTTCAAGCCCTACCAGAACCAGATCTCGGTAACATCAAGTTGAATAGACTAACTCAATTCCAGCTTGTGCAGCGACAACTCCAGGATTTTTGGAAACGATGGCGTCATGAATACCTCGCACAACTTCAAGCTCGATCAAAACATTGGAAGCCAGCAGTAGAAATTAAGATCGGCAAACTTGTTGTCATCGTGGATCCTAATCAACCACCTATACAATGGAAGATGGGCCGTATCCAGGAGCTGCACCCAGGTGTGGATGGAGTCACTAGAGTCGTTACAGTGCGAACGTCAACCGGTTCATTGAAGCGACCAGTAGCAAAGTTATGTTTATTACCAATGAGAGACGAGGAAGAATAGGGACAAATTCGATAGATTCCATCCAGTGCATCGAGAGAGGTTGTTTTTTTTTTTTTCTTTATTTTCAGAAGTCTCCCGGACACTTCAGGGTGGGTAAGGATGTCTGAGAGTTACATAATTACCAAATCAACGGATGCAGCCAGCAACAAGCACACTCACCGCATTGCAGGGACTCCACGAGCGATTTAAACGGTTGTGTACTACTGTGGTAACTACGGTTGTGGTAGTGCACCGGTTCACACGGGCTCCCGGAATTCTACCACTACTATGCGGGCAGTCTGATGGTCATCGGTAGGAGAGTGTAGAAAACTGGGAGAATAGTCAGTAGAAATCAGTGATGCCACATTATTTCAGAGCTCAATCTGTATTTTCATCGCACAAAATCTTTTTAATCTGTATCTGGCTGACAAAAATCTGTAAAAAAAATCTGTATTTCTATATTATGGTCTCAGTGCGGATTTACGTAAATCTCCATTGAGCGAATTCATAGTTCAAAAGGAGTTTGTTCAATGTTTAGAATCATGAAAAATTTCTAAAGTATGCTTTCCAAAGAATTTGTCTATTTTAAAAATCTTGAAATCCTACAATCTAAATTTTTTGTAGTGTTTTGTATTTCTTCTACTGTCTGAAAAAAACAAAACATAAAGTACCAGTTGTAAGAAACAAATCTGTTTCCGACTGAAAATTTCCTTAATGAAGTAAGTATCACAATTCCCTAGAATTTGATTCATTTATGTCTTAGATTACGCAATCCTTTATTTTTACATTGGACATAACAGAACTTTTACAGGAAGTTTAGTCGAAATGCATGCAATATTCTTTATTTCTGTAATGACGCTTTTTAAATATAAAAATATCCAGTTGATTCTTCTACTCACAAGCTGTAATCAACCACTTTGTGGGTTTTCTAAAATGGCTTGTTTACCGAGTTGACAAAAATATATTTAATTAACCGTCGTATCTGTCACCATGCGACAGGGTTAATTAAACAAATAGAAAGGGAAACTAATATTCCTTCCAACGAGAAATCAGAACATCTGAACAAATCAGAAGTCCATTCGATAGATCAGAAGTCCATTCGAAAGATTCTAAGTCCATTCGAAACTAAAACAATAGGCTCTTTTCATGCACCATCAATGTAGAGCCGATTTTGAAAGGAAATGTCATCCACAACTTTTAAATTTCCATCGGGTGTGTTCGTATTTTTCGATAATCTACAGAGCTGAACTGATTTCCAGCTGAAATAACCACACATTAAAAATCCGGAAGATCATAACCGCTGAGACAATTTTATAAATCTTAATTTTTCTCATCAAAAATATATGGAAGCACCAGCCGGATCACTGCAAACCCGATACAGAAAACAAAATATTCCACGTGGATGACGATTTTAAGCACCGGCGGGGGATAAATTAATCAGGAAAGGTGAGGCCTTCTTCCAATGCTTCACGGTGAAAATTTCCACTTTTCAGCGCCAGAGGTTGAAACAATCGCTTAGTTTCTTCAGGATCCACCTTTAATAATTTATTTAGTGAAAAATACGATTTGGGTTTGACGCTCAGATTGAATTCAAAAGACTGCCCAAAAGGAAGAAACGATTATTTATAGGCCTTTTTAATAGAAACTGAACGATCGATTCAACCTCTGGTGGTGAATAGGAGAACGTCAAAAAGAGTGTTGTGAGCACAAATTTTTGCCTTGAGACATAGGAAGCGGAACACTTTTTTTACTTTTCCTGATAAATTAATTCATCTGAGATGCTGCAAAACTTAATGTACAGTTGAAAAATTTAATTCTGTCACGTTTTGGAAAAGATCCTGCTGGTGTTCAGGAATATTTTTGTTGAGAAAAATGAAAAATTAGGAAAGTGCCTTAGTGGTTATGATCTTCCGGATTTCTTGTGTGTGAATAGTTAAGGTGCAAATCATTTCAGATTTGTGGAAAATCGTACAATAAGACAATTACCGATGGAAATTGGCAAGATTTTGAATGAAAAATGCTGTTATTTGCGTTGGGGAAAATACTTATTCTGATGTAAACAAACGGTTTGGTTGACGTTTCTTCTCGAACTCGCGTGGCGCACTCTACGTTGGTGGTGCATTAAAAAAGCGTATCGGAATTAATAAATATTTAAAAAAAACAATACAAAATATATTGACTTTATTTGAAAAATCTGTATATTTGTCAAAAATCTGCAATCTGTATATACAGATATCTGTATCAAAATATTGAAAAAAATCTGTATGATTACAGATAAATCTGTATATGTGGCATCACTGGTAGAAATAGATCCGTCGTCGCGATCAGTGACAAGGGGCAAACCCTTGTTATAGTTTTTTTTTTATTGTTTACTGTTAGCCTTAAGAATAAATGTACGAGTGAATAAATAATGTAGTGTCGTTTGTTAAGCTTAAATAAATTCGTGTATTGTGTGAAGAGTGTGTTTGATTGCTGCATGTGAAGAAGGATCTGCCGATGACAAGGATACAGGAAGGATAAGGACAGGAAGGATAAGGATCAAGGAAGCAAAGGACGATTCGTTCAAGAAGGAGGTACGTTTTCTGGTGAAGGTCGTGTGGAGGTCGAAACCAAATCCCCTGGTCCAATTGCAATAATTTTCTCACCAATCGATCAGAAATATGGCTACGCATCGATAACAATGCTTCCGAATGTTGATTTTCAACAAGAAACTATTGAAAAACTGGTAAATGTCCAGCATTGTCCAAAAGCGTCGAATTAACTAACAAATCCACCAATTACCTACATGCAAATGCTGCTTCCCCAGCACAGTCGTCAGAGAGTAGTAAGTAGACGAAACAAGTCGAAGTGACATTCGCCTCCGATCCTCGGGTCGGGCGCGTGCGAATAGGGAGGATGGAATTGCGTAATATTTTGCACACTCATCGCCATATTCAGAACCAAACGCAAATTCTTCAAGATAACCACTATCCGTCGTCTGGCTCGCCGTGGCGGTGTCTGACGTATTTCCGGTCTGATTTACGAGGTGTGCTGAAGGTGTTCCTGAAAAATGAGATCCGTTATGCTGTCACCTACACTAAACACGCCAAGCGTAAGCGGCCATGGATGTCATCTACGTTTTGAAGTGACAGAGACGCACTCTGTTTGGTTTCGGAGGTTAAATCATCACCAACTTTGGCAACAAAACGGCTCTTTTCAGGGCCACCATGCTTATTACAGTAAAGAGTAGGAATAGAATTCATCTGCCTGTCTACCCATTTTCAGAACCACACGCCCCACCAACCACACAAAATGCTATTGTAACCAAACTTGGAATCAGGGAAACAAATGATTTTGATATATTCTCTTCATCTGGATATTTTCGATGGAAGAAGCAACAATCAAGCATCTAATTCAACGAAGATGTCAGGAAACATTTTTGAAGCCAAGTTATTTACGAAGTTTACTATCAATGCAGATAGAACTTATTGAAAAGTGACGCGAGATTTGTTTTCCGTGCTGAGCACCAATGCTGCCGACGCCAGGGAGGCAGCTCTCACGCCTGGACCCTACCAATCGACCCATCAACTCAACCGGGGACCAACGGCTTTACTTCCCGAAAGAAGGCGTGATCAGAGATGTTATGCCTTAGAACATGCCGGTGGCGCCGACTGAGATTGGACCCAGGCCTACTGGGGTGAGAGGTAATCACGCTAACCACTACACCACTGGTGCCAATATCTTTCAAGGTGATATCTCGGTGAATGAGAACGACCCAAATTTGAGTTTAGTCAACTCATAAATTACATAAAGTGCAAGAACTCAGCGATGAGTAAATTTGCCTCAGTTTTTCCAGGGAAAAATTCCCGAATTTCAGAAAAGTAAAGATTGGATTCACTCATTCTATTGGTACTACTCCGAGACTGAATACAATTTTCGTCAATTTCCTAATTTTCTTGCAGATTTTTTAGGTTTTCCACAGGAAACCATGAGACAAATTTACTCATCGCTGAGTTCCTGCACTTTTGGCGATTATGAGTGAACTAAACTCAAATTTGGGTCGTTCTCATTCGCCGTGTACGCAAAAGGAAAAGAGCCAGTGTCGCTACTTGATAGCAAACTACTCATAATGGGAGGAGTCTTTGTAGCTTTTATACCACTTGGTTGCACATCATTCTGCTTTAACCTGAAAAGATATAAAAGAGCACTGCTGTATGGCCTTAGCTCATTTTCGCTTTGGACGGCGTGGTGAGCAGCAATAGCAGCAGTAAGAAGGTGGTGGCTAGTCCACTCCTTCACACCCTCGTTCACACCCAACCAGCAACAATTGACTGGTCGTGGCAAAGGAGGAAAATGTCTGGTAAAGGAGGTGCCAAGCGTCATCGCAAAGTTCTTCAAGATAACCACCATCCGTCGTCTGGCTCGCCGACCGCTCGCTCCGGTCTGATCTACGAAGTATGCTGAAGATGTTCCTGGAAAATGAGGTCCGTGGTGCTGTCACCTACACTAAACACGCCAATCGTAAGTAGCCATGGATGTCCTCTACGGCTCTTTTCAGTGCCCTCAATCTTATTACAGTAAAGAGTTGGAATAGAATTTATCTGTGCCTGTTTTTCCATATTCAGAACCACAAGCCCCCAACGACCACACAAAATGCTCTCCAGAGTTGTAATCTTGTTGCCAAACTTGGAAGCAGGAGTGCAATTGATTGATTGAAAAAAATTACTACAAATTTGGTACGCCTACAATTCAAAAACCGAAAGAGTTGAGATAACAGATAATTGTTCAATTAAAAGAACTAAATGCTCTTCACATTTATTCCATCCACTAGCGGTCCTACGTCAAGCTTCCGTTCGTGCCCCTAGGCACAGACCCTTCTACTTTTTTTAACTGACTGTCGCTTTACTTTCTTTTCTTATTGTTACACAATCACGCTGCCCAGGCATTGCTTGGCTGGTTTCGTCGTCTTCAAAAAAACTGCAGAACAAGTTCCTTTGTATCATCACCAGTGCTGGCAAAATCAGCAATCAAATTATATTTTTTCGCTCTCATACGCTGTCAATATCACGCGTGATATTGGAACAAAATTTCATGCTTGATATTGATTTTACAAGCTCCTTTGATATAGCGAAACTATTCACAACGTGCAAAAATCAAGCGGAGAGTTGACTAGACACAAAAATTATTGCGTTGCACATCGTTTTCGTAGAAAGAGAATGTATAGTATGATATCTCTTTTTACTGTTCACCGATGGCAGACACGAAGTGACTGCTGCCAGCCGTAATGGAAGTTTCGGTTGCGTTCGGGTTTAAAGCAAAAATCATTTAACTCAATCTCACGACAGTTTGTTGAGATTTGCAGCTGGTGAGCTTCGTTAGCTTGATATTCCGAGCTACGATATCACAGCTTGCAAAATCAACCGCAACTGTATGCTTGTTGATTTTTGTCTACGAAAAGGAAGCGTGATCTTGGGCATTGGTGAGATTTGATTTTTTGATATTTTCCCAACACTGATCATCACTCAATCCACTGCCTAACCTCAGAAGCAATAGAGGGGTGTACACCTTTATCGTTTAACAGCTGTTTTGATTGTATTGCCATATATCTGATTGTATTGAATGCGTTCATACTCTTCTGAACTGCCCACTATCTAGGTAATACCGTCAAGAGCTGAAATTTCTCAGTTTTGTTTGTGTCTTCTTTCGAAAACTTATCTGTAAGCTGTTCAATAATTTAAATAAAATCGTCAGTTTTATTATCATCTAAGTTAGCTTCTGCATTAAGTGCAAAGATGTGCTTTCCGATTTTTTGATTAATTTCATGATATTCCTGCACAGCATAATTTACAGAACTCATTTTCTTCAGATCTATAGGTGATGTCAAAATACAAGATATAAATTTGTTACAAATTTAGATATAGGTAAAAGCTTTAAGAATATTCGCCAACATCAGAGTCAATTGTTTTTGTCGATGTCATTGATGGCATAGTTGCTAAGGGGTCATGACTTGGAACATTCATGTTGATATCTTGTTCATCGTTGCTTTTAAGTTCTGTATATCAGGTCACTTTCACAGATTCACAACGAATTAAATTCTAATGTTGATTCCGTGTCAGGCATAAATATGGATGTAGGTAATTAAAAACCATGTCACTTGGATCGCTTAGCAATAGGTAGTATGTTAGCATTTTAGCACCAAGTTAATACCTTTGCATGAAAAAAGGTCGCATTGGGTTATTTTTATATTTGAGAAGACACCAATCAATTGGTGAGCTACCAAGAGCTTTTTATAATGAATTTCCCAATCTTACGGAAAAAATATTGCTGGAACTGGAGAAACAACCAATAATAAAAAAAATCAACGTTCAAATCGCTACATCTCGAAAACATTGCAAAATTTTATGCAAGTGCTTTTTTATTGTAAATTTGGTGTACTTTCAATATATCAACTCGAAAGAATAATTGAACCAATTTCTGGATATTTTTCCAATAACTTGAGTTTTGTTTTCAAAAATCATAACTTTTTTGTCAATAATTTCTCTATATTGCACAAAGGTTCAAAACCCCCTAAAACGTGCGTTTTTTTATTTTTCGGTATGAAAACGACATTTTAGAAGGATGGTGTCTTCAGAAGAGTTGCAGAGTTTTCAAAGGGCTATCGTTTGGTGCTGAGATATTTCTGATCTATTCACCTAGAAGGCCCCCTAAATTTTACAAACATGCTCAAATCATGTTGGTGTCTTCAGCAAAGTTGTAGATTATGTCAAATGAAACACCAACTTAGTAAAACGATTGCGTAACGAGTTAACGAACGTTTTCTTTAAATGGCTCCCCAAAAACAGTTTTTTAAATAACTTTTTTGGACGCGATTTTATCAACAAGGTTTGTTCTAAAAAGTTATTGGCAATCACAAAACATACATTTGACCCGAAGACACTTTACCTCTCTGACCATAACTGTCAAAGTTATAAACAATATTATAGTCAAAATACGCATTTTTCACGTCGACACACCATAAAAACCGGCCAAAACCGGCAAACCAAACAGTTTCCATTCGAAAGATACGCTTTCAAACTACAAAACACCATAGGTTTCATCTTGTTCTGTAATGTTCCAACGGACATATAAGATTTTTACAAATTGTTTAGTTACATTTTATATTTAGTCTATATTTCTTTGAGGAATACTATGTGCTAAAAAATAACATAAGCTTTAAAAGTTATTCAACCGCTATTGATCTCGTTGTGTGTGTCAATCAAATCTGAAATAAGAAAAAAGCAATATAAAATTAATGTTTGCCCGAACGATTACGATTTGAGCTTTGTACATACCTCATCATCGCTACTTTGTTTATCTTCAATTTCATCATCACTTTCTGTGCTACTTATGCTGCTATCTTGATCACTTTCTTCTGTTCCATCTGTACTGGGCTGATCTATGTCCACTAAGAGAGCTTTGGCATCATCAGATAATGATAGCTGTTTCTTATCTGGAAGTGCTCTTAGTGAAGATATCAATGGATCCGATGATTCCAAAAGGCGATTTAGTAGGTCAGTATTTGTTGCTGTCCGTGAATACTTTCGGGTATGGCTCAGCCTGTAGCGCTTGATGTCTTTATTCCGACTTTCTTGTGCTTCTTCCGATAATTGGCCGATAGGCACAAGAAAAGATGAAATGATTTTAGCTCCATGGATGAGCTTTTTATGAACCGTTGTAGACAGGTAAAACCAGGGATAGACGCGTACTAATTCCTTCGCAGTTTCGTGGCAATATTCTTCAAATTTCGAGCTGTATAATAGGTTTAAATTTCATCTGTATAATAGGTTTGCGTTCAAACCAGTTATGTTAGCTGATTTTTTGCCAATTTTGAAAGAAACGTCGCGCGCTATTCCCATCGTTTGAAGTTCCTGACCCATCTGAACGAGGTTTGTCGACGATCAGGCCCATTTCAATACGGAAGCGTTTCTGCACATTCCGTTTCCTTTTCAGTAGCCTGTCCCGGTCAGCTCCTCTGGCTTGCAATTTTTCAATGTCCAATCTATACGATATATGGAGGAAATATTCATAAAATCTTATCCACGCGTGTAAGGTGGATAGCCCAAACTGAAAGTTATCATTATTTGTAGAACGTGAAATGGATTTCTCAATATCGTTCATTTGAGATGAAGTAGCACCACCAATATAATACCTTTGTACTGATTTTGTTGATGTTACCGAATTGCATACTTTGCCATCAACCATAGTCATTAACATTTCATAATGAACCTTAATGCTCCGTTCGTTTTTTGTGATGCATGTGGGTTGTAATTGCGCAATTTGATGATCGATGTAATCTTTTTCCTCCATTGAAATTTCGGTTGTTTCATTCACGAGCTGGATGTGTAACGGACGGCAATACCGAGTTGAAGACGGACGAGGATTCTGAAAAATCAGCTTGTCACCGCTCTTGGCACAAACGGTAACGATTGATGTTACGAACATATTGGAGTCGGTTTTGGTTCCATCTTCGAAATTAAATTTTTGCTTGAACTCGCTGTGCCCCGAACTTCCGTCAAACCCCCATTTAACCGTAAGAGTTATACTCTGTAGCTCGCAGTCAGATAATGCAAGAAATTTGTTGATATTAGCATCAATAATTCTTGACGTCGTATGGTCCAAAAGATCCTGAAGTTTTATTCCAATGGATGTTTTGGTAGCATTGCAGTTGGGATAGCAGTCTTTCTTAGCCGTCAAAACATTTTGATAACTAGGATACAAGTTTGAATGCCTCAATCTAGCTCCGTTTCTTATATTAATATATTGAGCCTTTGTCAAATTTGCATCCAAAATCATGGCCAACGCCTCGTTTTTGGAATATGGCACCAATTTTTCTTGGCGCGCTTCCCGCAGAGAAGAAACCATTTGTTTTGCTCTGGTGGGTGACGTGCACGTAGCTTCTCGAACTAACAAGGCTTCATCTACTCTCTTATGCTCGCGAAGCTTCATCTGAGCAGCATAGCAAAGGTCACTTACAGAATATACACGACGTAATTCAGACGTCTTCAATCTTTTGACACTTTCCGAGCAATCAGTAAATGGTAATGACTTCCGACCGCGTTTTGATTCATTCGATGAGCACGGAAGCTGCATTAAAATATATTTGGGTAATTCAAATGGTCGTTCAAAAAACCTAACGTTTTGTTCGAACAAATGGGTCATCGTTCGGTGTTGTTTAATCCAAAGACGCTTGAATTGTTTGCACAGTACTTCTGTAATTTTTGACACCTCGGAATGAATATCCGGCATAAGATCCGTATCGATACTTAAAATTATGACTTTATGACAGAGCTTTTTGTCTTTAACGTTCCTTTAGCTTCTTTCCAGGAGAGGAACAGATCCCGTCTATCAATACCCTCTGTGTTAACAAATTACATTGCATTTTAGGTATACAGCAAAATGGAAGTATCA